AAAGCAGAAAAAGGCAAACATTTTCAAAGGAATAGAAAGAAGATAACTTCGGGGCTGGTGAGATGGCTCAGTGGTCTAAAGCACCTATTTAAAACAAGCTTAGCAAAACACAGGGACCGCGGTTCAATCCCCCAGCACCACATGCCAGCCAGCCCCCGCCCCTTGCTGGGCTGAGCTGAGCTGGCCACACACACACACACACACACACACACACACACACACACGCATAAATAAAAAAAAATTGGAAAAAGAAAGAAGATAATTTCGAAAGAAATTGAACTGCACAAACCACAACGTTCTATTATGTTCGAGAAATTTTTGTCTTCATAGCATACAATTTTAGACTCAAGCACTTGCTAATCGAAATATGAGGGCGACGAGGCTGAAAGCTCTCACTCTCTCTTTGAGAACCAAGCCTGAATAATTGTGGGTAGTGAGTCCCCTACCGCCCGCCCTCACCCCCAACCCCAGTTCCCTAATGTGCTGATTTCAAAGTAGAGCCCCCTAGTGGTGACTTTGAAGAACTTTAAAGCGCTCAAGCGGATTGTTAGCTAGAGAAGGTAAGAGACATTTGCCTGCCAGGAGCCTGTCTACTGTCAGGATTCAGAGCTCATTAAGCTATGTGAGAGTCCAGCCATGAGGTCCTGATGCGCCCGGATCACCCTTCCTGAAATACCCATGCAACCATTTGTAGTTCAAAGGTCATTCAAGCATCCAGGTAAGTTTGTCAGAAGCTGAGGATGTAGCTTAGTGGTGAAATATATGCTCGGCTTGTATAAGGTCCTGAGTTCAATCCTCAGAAACATTTCCTTCAGCGAGGATTATATAATTTTCTAACTTGTGATACTGTGGCTACAGTTTAGACTTAGAAATACATCACATTAAGATGTTTGCTTTCATTTATATGTGTACATGAGACAGAAGATTAGAGACCTAACAGACTACAATCTACCTTTTCCTCCCATTTGTTGAAGAAACTGGAACATTTTCTAAAGAAGATGTGTTCTCAATTATGGAGGAAATGCCTATTTTCTTAGTCTGTGGTTATCTTAGTCCAGATTTATGTTTAATTTTTTATATGGCCTCATGAGGTTTGGATTTTTACTAGTACAGAATGATCACACTCACTATAGGGAACTGGCATGTGAATGTAACACGTTTCATCCTTTTTTTTTTTTTTTTTTTTTTTTACTTAGAACACTAAGTAACTCAGTAAGTCAAACTCAAGTAATGGTTTCTTATGGAGTTCAAGGTGAAGTGAATGTCACTTGAGTCCAAATTTTTCTCACTCATTAGGACTGGTTAACTCCAAGAAGGAGGAGGTAAGGGAAGAGGCAGGGAGTCTAGATGGAAGGCAGCCACCCACAGAGCAAGTGCTCACAATTTTGAAGAACACACAAAAGATTAATATGGGAGTTTAAAATACAGAAATATTTCTAAAGAGAAGAAAAATTTAAATAGCACTGGAATGTCGCCCCTTAAAATGAAAATGCTACAAAGTAGTTCCATAGCAAAAAGTGAATTTTGGCTTGTGAAATATTTAAGAGTTTAATGTTTAGAGTTTTGATAATTCTATCAGTGGAATGAAACTAATAGGCTGACATAGCACAAGAGAAACTGACCTAATTACTCCAAAGATCAGAAATGGAATAGCTTTGTAGTTCTGAGTAACAATCTCACCCTTTTAGTAACATGTATAGTCACTTTTGAGAGATGCTCAAGTAGATTTAGTGTTGGACTAGCTCACTAAGCTGTGCAGAAGCCCACAGTTGAAGATCATGGACAGGACTATCAATACAGCTTTTTGAATGGCATTGGAGATGAATGCCATAAATGCTGTTTTGCTTTTAAAAAATAAACTGAATCTTTAAAAGACCAAAATAATCAAAACCATTAACCTGGATTTTTTTAATGTTGCCTTCTCTTTCAATTTATGTTCTCCATGTATCTATTAGAAAGCAGGGGCTGGCGAGATGGCTCAGTGGTCTAAAGCACCTAATTACAACAAGCTTAGCAAAGCACATGGACTGCGGTTCGATCCCCCAGCACCACATGCCAGCCAGCCTCGCCCCCTGGTGGGCTGAGCTGGCCACACATACAATAAATAAATGTAAAATAAATAAATAATAAAAATAAATTTAAAAAAAAAGATATTAGAAAGCAAACATTTATAATACTGAGTCAGAGCACAATACTAGTCTGCAAACTATCTTTTCAAGAGCTCATCCCCAGAAACAAATTCATCCAGACAGACAGAAAGCACCGTTGTGTGTGCAGATGTCCCCAGCAGAAGAATGTCAGCATTTTTCCTTAACAAAACTCTCCTTGGGGACATGTACTTACATGACTATGTCTCTGGACATATTCTTGGCAAGTTACTTCAGAAAAATGTTCATAAAAAGAAGTGGGAAGAAATTTTTGTTTTAAAAACAAATCCTACTCATATTCAAACAGAACTCACATTTTGAAAATAATGAACAAAGAAGTGTTCAGACTCTTTGTTCTTTACATATTGTAGTACAGTTAGAAATCCTTTCTCCTTCAACCTTATAAGCACCAATAGTTTTTATTTTCCTACTGGATTTTAATTCATATTTTCAAGTAACTATTAAAATTGAGATGATAACTCATTCATTTCACAAGGCAGAAATTCATGTAATGATTCTTATCTACTGCTGTATCAAGTCTTTAGAAAACCTAATAGAATATGTTATTTAGGCAAAGCATGTTTCAAATCACATAGTTTATATCCCTTATTATATGAACAATGTGGTTTTATAACATGTCAAACAGAATGACCCCAGAGAATTATTTCTAATGAGAAAAAAGACTTTAATGTATTTGAAT